TAACGAGCCTTTTCCCTGCCACGCGGCACTTCAGTCCTCCTTGATATCCTTCACACCCTTGTTTTCCTTTGTGCCTTTTTTCCCTCTGTGTTTTTTTTTTTTTTTTTAAATAAATCAATCTCTACCTGGTAATAGGCTGCCACACAGACTCACGCGCACACAAAGGGCTACTGACCGTTAGCGGCGAGGCTGGAGGGCGGCCAGACTGTAAAGCGACTGCTCCTTTCACCATGGACTTCGTACTCAGCTCTGTGACAGCCCTTCAAACTCGAACACTGGACCGGAGCCCGAGCAGAAATACCAGAATGAGTTTTCAGGGCCAATATGGGGCCTGTGAAGTCACGGATTAGCTCATTCACATCCTATAATTATTATCAGATCATACATTATTATTAGACCATGAGACCACGAAGTTTAATGTGAATATTTGTGTAACGTTGGGCATCTGCCAGACTTCAGTTTCCCGACTACAAGCTTCTTCCATGCGTTTTTAAAAATGACCTGCAGTTACCTCACCCTGAGCAGAGAGCATTTCTCAGGCCTTAATGCCAGGTAGCATCTCGCAGTTCAGCCATTCTTTGGGGATGCTGGACTTCTCAAATATTTACATTGAGAACAGGGACCGATCATTCGTGGAGACCCATGGGACCATACGCCTACTCCATTTATTTTCACTTTTCATTCATGAATACATTTCTGTGGCTGATCCAGGTTGACCTCTGACCGTATCATGCATGATATCCAGTGATCTGGCTGGAGCTAATCAGCTCTTAAAATAAACACTAATGGAGGCCTTGGCTGCAAGAGGCATGTCAGTCTGTAGAATGGACTCAAACTCTATGAGGCCTGGTGCTGATATACCTCTCAGGATAGGCGGGGTCATTTAGGGCCCAGTCCGAAGAACCCTAATAAAAGTGAGAACTCTGTTGGGGGGAGGTGTCCAAACATAGTGCTGGAGCACAGTCTTCTGGGCAAAGCAAGCGCTTTTTAATTATGGGAGTGAAAAGTTAAGAACAGGGCTATTTCTGTGCTGGTTGGCGTTGGAGTCACCTGCCCTGTCTGACCACAACGGCGGCTGGTGATGCAGCAGGGTTTTAGCGGCATGAGTGGAGCCCCCGCTAACATCTGCACAGCAGTTTTTGGGGGCTTTCATCAAGACCTGTGTGCACATCTGTAGGTGTCGTCTACATATTAGACTTGTTTGGGACCTATTTCCCCAGCAGTTGAATTTATGAGCTACCCTGAAGGGTGTACTTATGAAAATAAAACTGCAGTTATCTTTGCGATAGGGGTGACAGAAAAATACATGATAATCCACCTGGATTTTTAAGAAAATGAAAGTAACCAGTAAAGCCCACACATCAGTATCAAACTGCCCACCAGCTTAACTGCAGGCAACTGATAAAGTCACGTTTCAGCTATAGACTTGAACTGTATACAGCTAAACTACAGATCACTGAACAGTTTACAGTTGAACAGTGAATACACCAGTGAATACATTTCCTTATCTCACATTTTAGGTGCCATCAAGCCTTGCTTCATTAGATGAGAGCCTTAGTGATGATCATAGGCTCCCTGCCTTGATGAAACGTTGTGTCATGCTGCCATTGGAGGTCCAAAAATGAGACTCAGCTCATTGGAACTAACCTTACAGTTTAATATATGGCTTAACACTGGAGTTAGCAGTGCAGGAATTACTAGTCTCCATCCCACAAGTACTGTAAGCACTTGTGTACTCGATTACTGAAACTGCTCCCTGCAACAGGAAACATCAGAAGTGTTATTCTGATAAGACCGTATGACAAAGTAACACAGAGTTATAGACTATAGTGATCTATTCAGCAAACCATTCATTTCAACCTCTCCCGTAAGACCCAGGCAGTCATGCTAACATTTAAAGGGCATCAACAAGCTAACCAGATGTAACTGGGTAACAGATGTAAATGGCTGGGTGACTGGTAGAGATTGGCTACATATCAACCATGTTATCACGCACTGCTCTGGATGAGCAAGTTATTTATTGAAATTAATAAAGTATGTAATGTTATTACTGCAAGATGTGATGGTTTTTGGTTGCTCTTTATGCTTGAAAATTATATTGTACACTGAGGGCTTGGGAGAACATTTTTTGCTGAACTATCCCAGTTGGCAAAAGTTCCACCCCTGTATGTATACTGCCGAATGCATGACTTACGTACCAAACCATGCCATACTGTTAAAATAACATGCAGAACCGTATGACAAAATGGTTCTATTTAACTTGGCAAGAGATCAAAAGCAAATCCTGCTATGTTTTTTAACCCAGATAACTGCGTAAATTGAGAGCAAATTTTCTCATACATAATGGAATACAGTGTCTATATCACTATAAATTCATACATCTAATGCATTTTTGTAGGATAAATTATGGTGCAAAGGGGGCAATTCAGCAAAATTAATGTTTATGCAATTTATTATCAAATTGACATATAATACAAATGTTAGCTCAAAGGTACTGTTTATAGGAGGGTTCAAACGGTATATGTTGAAGGAAGTATAGAATGGAGCCCTCTTCTCAAATTCCCAGCCAGGTGCCGGTACTCCCCTTGGTATTCAGTACCAGGTGCCGGTACTCCCCTTGGTATTCAGTACCAGGTGCCGGTACTCCCCTTGGTATTCAGTACCAGGTGCCAGTACTCCCCTTGGTATTCAGTGCCAACAGATACTGAGAGGTGCCAATACTCTGAAGAGAAAAACAAAGTGGTGCTTGTACTGTGTACCAATGAGTACCTGCCCACTTCAAGCATTGAGTACATCTCTTGGGAAAAATATGCAAATTCTACAAAGTCAGAACTGGGATTCAAAACCATATCCTTAAAGGTATGAGCCCCCAATTGGCACAGCATTACCACAGTCTGTATCAGTCATTGGTTAGGTGTCAACAGATTACATTTAAGTACAGCTAAGCTGTGTGCTGCTTGGTGAGTGTCGGTTAGACCCTGTGAGGTAGGAGAATACCTAGCCTTCTTAGGGTCTCCAGTGCAGAATTAAGTTTCCAACCTAATCCAGCTCTTAAGCACAACAGCTCACTGGAGAGACAGAAGCATGTAGACAGTTTCAAATATGTAGAGGATCCATAAAAACAGGCCAGGCCAAAGCGAGGTTAAAACATGATTATATATAATCGGTATGAGGATAACCAGCATGTCCCAGTTGATAATCAGCCCACAGCCTTGAAAACTTGCACCAGATGCAGTGGAAGAAGCCGCAAGACCCACAGTTCAGCAACCCCCAGGTTATTGAAGGGTCTGTGAGCAAAATACAGACGCCTTCGTGTGACGGTTAACGTAACGAGAGGGATCATGTGACCAACTGCCGGGAAATTTCCACCACATACTGCAAACTCTCATTAAACACAAAAATTGTAAATATTTACATAGCAGATGCTTTCATCCAGAATGATGTACAGTTTGAGAAAGCAGTGTCAGAGGACACTTGGAGCGATTCGGTAGCCCTTGCTGAAGGACCCAATGGTGAAATCACTCTGCCGACCCTGGGATTAGAACCAACAATCTTCTGGCACTGTGGCCTAACCCACGAAGCCACACACCATCCCCCAAAGGAGTGTTTGAAACAATCAGAAGGTGTATTGTTCTTTAAGAGTGCGTCCATGAATGGTTTTTATAGTGGTGCTGAGGGAGCGACAGTAGGCATCTGGGTTGTATCCTTCTGAGCAGACAGTAGGGACAGTAACTGCACATACAGTTGGTGAAAAGGGGTGGATGGGTTTGCGTCAACTGTTTGTCATGAACAACAAAACTGAAAGCCACTAGTGCCACCTACAGGGTGTGAAAGAATTACCGTGCAATCCAGACAGTGCAAAACTATTTATACAAGATTTGTGCTTTTTGAAGTTTAAAATTGCAATTAAAAAACAATATGAAAAACTGGTTGTATGGTGGCTCAGTGGTTAGCGCTGTTACCTCAAGCTGACAAGGTTGGTGGATTGACTCCCGTCTCTGATCTGTCCATGCAGAATTCATATGTTCTTTCCATACTACATGGGTTTAATCTATTGATGCTAAGATTAAATGCATTAGGTTAAATGACATCACTAAATCTCCTCATGGCGTAGGGATTGTGTGTGAAAATGTATTGTGGAATAGGCTAACATCCTATCTTGGGTGACTCTGACTAAGTTAAGTGGCTAGGACCTACACAGAAGGAATACAAGACCTTGCGTTACCGTTCCTGAGGGAGGAATTATGAGCAAATGCACTAGCCCACGTCAGGACATGGGAACAGAAAAAATAAAGAAAAATTAACACTTTGGGCAGCAGGTGGCGGTAGAAGAAAGAATTCAAAGATTCCTCGAGATCTGAAATCAACCATGATCCAGGTAACCATGTTGAGATGAGCATTTTAACAAGCGTTTCACATTTTTGATAGTACTGGTGTTTAATCTCCTCTGTAATCAAAAACATATGTTCCAGGCCAGTCCAGAGCCATTTTAATTGCCTTTCTGAAATGGTTAAAAGATTTATTTGGATTTCACTCTTACATCACCTTATACATGGATGCCACAAGCAGACTGGCATTTTATCTAACTACCAAATGTCTACAATATACAGCCGGTTCCAGTGCCTGTATATGGTGTACAGGGAATCCCCAGGTTAATAACGTCCGACTTATGGACATTTCGTACTTACGAACGCGGATTGCCATAAAGCCTATTGTATTAAACATTTGAGTAAAATACAATGGTTCGCGATAAGCAATGCATGCTTCAGTGGTTCGTCAGCTTGAGGTACAGTACAGTAGAGAATGTACTTTTATTGTCGCTGCATTATTGTTATGTACTGTATTATTGATCCAACTTACTTACAAATTCAACTTAAAGACAGACTTCGGGAATGAGCCACATTTGTAACGTGGGGACTGCCTGTATTGTAAAGAGTAAATTTAAAAATAGGAAGATTTAAAAATCAATATTTTTTATATAGAAAATAAGAGCAGCTCTGTTTCACGGTTCCAGTTTCAATTTATTCTGCTGGTTTTGTGAGAACAATACAAGCAGGGGATCCAAACCAGAGAACGAGAACTTATTTACAACAGATATAGAAAGAAGCTATAAACAAATCTGTCCAGCCATGCAGAAATTCACACACACACACTGCCATTAGATGTCGCAATGACACAAGACAAAAGGTAAATTAAGGAAAAAAATAAAAATATATATCTGATCAAAGATTCTTCAAGTCAATCCAGTGACTGACTTCTAAATATTCATCTTTTTTGTTTATAAAAATTACAACTTATTTTTATGCTAATAATTTAAACGAAAAAATGTTAAATTGCAGAATTAAACTTTTAATATAATTCAAATCAGATAAAACCAGCAATTTCCAAAGGAATACTATAAATAGACAACGCAAAACAAATGACCAATAAGAAAAAAAAAAAAAAAAAGTATCCATATATTATCTGGAGACGAGAATTCATCTTGCGTGTTAACCTTGAAACTGACCTCAGCATGTCTACCCAACCTGAATGAGTACTTACACAGCCTCCTTGCAGAGGTCAGCTCAAGGTCAAACAACAATTACATGCTCAATTCCTGTAAGCAATTCGCGTTGGCTCGGCATCTGTAGAATTTCCATTAAGAAGTTTCAGGCACCTGCAAACATGCAAAGAACATGTTCAGAACACGACACACACAGAGCTCTTACGCAAAAGACCAGAAGCCCAGAACTCCTGTGAGATTTGTCCTTGTGCGACAGGCAATGCTGTGCTAGTGTATAGAGCAGTGACAAAGCAAAATGGCCACCGCCACTTACCGCTGGCAAATCACGAGGCACGATGGATTCATAACTGCAGTGGGCTTTCCAATGTTTCCCCAGCACCCGTCGCCATTTCAGGGTGGTTTGCTGGCTCACCATTCCAGCCAGGGCTGGGAATTTCTGCTTCCTGAGGCTCCATTGCATTTTCAGTGCTTGACCACAGAGGGGCGCTCCCCTTTAAGAGGAGGGAATTAAGGGTTTGAAGTGTTTGCAGAAAGGCAAGGGTAAACCATAGACAAGAACTAGTGAGCTTGTTCAGGACATTAAAAGTCAGTCCCAGAGGAGTAATGTTGCATGGAAACATGCATAACTACACGTCTGATTCACAAAGGCCTGCATTAATGCTGAAATGCCAAACCTCTATCCAAGGTGCCAAATAAAGCAAATAAAACACATGGACACAGACACACACACCGCTGCTTGACAGTCGCATACTCAGCTGAACAAAGGTCATTATTGTGAAAAGTGCCACAAGCATTAAATATTGGTTTCTCAAAGAGAACATACTGTACATCGGACACATTGTTGAAGAGAAAGGCCTCATTTCCTTCTTTACTTTACACTTAACGCTTCTAAAAATGCCCTACGTCTACATACCGATGGAACAGGGACACAAAGCCAATACTGTGTTTTAGGTCAAAGCACCTTGCACGGGCAAAAACTTCACATGGGCCGCCGACTCAGGCCAAACCCACAAAGACCAACTTACCACGTTCCTTGAGGAGTCCTTCTGCTCTACCACGAAGGTCAGGTCTGTGGGGGATGACGGGGTGGGAGAGAGGGAGTCTTGGTTAAGGGAGTTTGATCTCTTTACCGCCATGGCCACGGCCCGGGCAAAGGGGGAGGGGGCAGCCGCGATGAACGGCTTCGGTGCAGCGAAGGACCTCAGTTTCTCCAAACTCAGCTCAGTCGACGACTGCCGAGAGGGTCTGGGCACCGATGTCTGCGGGGACGTTTCCTGAGGATCTCCTCCTGCCTCCTCGTCCCAAAACACTGGAGGCGGAGGAGGGGGGAAGCCATTGTCACAGACCGCCTTCTCGGGATGGTCCCTTTCGCCAGCGCTGCAGCGAGAGCTGGTGATCGCATCCTTCTCCGCCGCCGACGTTACGTAGTACCCTGACGTACGTTTCTGCAGCGACAAGCGGAAAGCGGCTGGCTTTGGTCTGACAGGGGGGGGTACTTTATTCTTCTTGCCTACTTGTGGCGCGTCCGCCGACGCACCCTCAACACGAGGAAGAGGTCGTTCCGGAAAAGGTTCGTCTTGTTCTGCGGTTGACCTTGGGCTACTAGCAGTATTGTTATGAGTGCCATTGTGCAATTGCAGATTATCCCTGAGAGAGAGGCTGTACAGTTCAGGCTTGTCACCCGAGTCTTGAGGTTTGGTAGTCTTTGAGGAAGGAGCTACATGTTCAGATAAACTCTTTGAGGCATCTGAAGGTACATCCGGACCCGGGGCCTCTAGAGTCAGTTCCACTTCGAAGAACCGAAGCTTGTCCACTGACTTCGAGGGCTTGACGGTGTAACTGGTCAGGCCCACCTTGGGCGTGCAGTCCCTCGTCAGCTCAATCGAGGGCTTTGAGTCCTTGACCTGAACGAGGGGCTGTTTGGTCACAGTGATAGTTTGGGCCTGATGGGCCGCTCCTGACTGAACCGGATCAGGACCACCCTCTTCTGTAGACGTAGACATGTCCCTCTTCAGCTGGGGCCGGTCAATTGAGGAGAAGCCAGACGACGGTGGTGTTTTCGGTAGCTCAGGCGGTGTCGGAGGTGGTGCGTCTGAAGAAGAGGAAGTAGGTGCCTTCACACTTCCTGGATGGTCAGTATCCAAAGTACCTGTGCTCAGCGGATCCAAAGCCTGTACTCCAACTTCCTGGCTTGTGGGCTGGAGCTTAGGGCAGGGCAGTGTGGGGCTCTCATGTGCGAGGGGGGGGAGGTCGATAGGTTCTCTAGTGATGCTCTTGTTTTCATCGCCAACCAATTCCAGGATTTGTCCCTGGGACGCTTTTTCTTGCTCATTGTTGTCATCAGCTGGTAATAAACAAAGATGAAATACCCTTTCAATAAGCCACCGACATGACATTTTCACAGCTCCCTCTAGAGAACTGGGTGTAAATTTTAGTGACACAAAGCATAATGCAGTACAAAGCAACATTAATTCTTATTCTAACCACTATAATGCACTATGAAGGTATTTATAGTGCATTATAGATGAGAGCTTCATAATGCATAATAAACATGGCTATAATGTGTTATGGCTTTTTAAAATCTTTACAGCAGTGTTTAAATTACTTTATGAATGCATCATAATGCATTATGAAGGTATGTATAATGCATTTATACGATTTAAGTGTTACCCAAATTTTGCGAGGCAAGAAATTGATTATTCTAACCATAAATCTGTATGCAACCCATCTTACAACAGACAGAATTGCACATATACAGAACATTACAAACACAGACTGTCTCGTCATTATTACATAAAAGTGGATGGATCAAGCGTTGATTTACCCATGACTTCAAGCTCTGGATTAACGGCTTCATCAGTGTTCAGTGCTTTTTCGCAGCTCTCTTTATGGTTCATAGCAATCCCAGCTTCCCTGTCAAAATCAAAATGTGAGATGCTTTGGGAAGGAGGCATGGTGGGTAACACGGTAAGCCGAACACCCAAAAGGCTTTTCCCCACATTTTATTGAATTCATTAAATTTATTTAAACAAAAAACTATTTATTTTTAGTAACTATTTAACGCCCCAATGCCCTCACGGCGGAAATCCCAGAAGTCCTTCTCAATATTTCGTACTTGCCATCTGAGGACGGCCCCCCAGGCCCAGTCTGCGTCGTCCCTTCCAGTGGGCTGCAGCCCTGCATCTCGATATACATGGTATCAGGAGAGCATTTCTCAACGACACTGGCGGACCTTCTGGGGCTGTGGTCACCGTTGTGGGTCTCGCCGACGATGCCGGGACTGGAGGAGGGCTGGGGGGGGGGCACTCCTGCTGAGCCAGTGGCAGAAATCAGAAGCAAAAAAAAAAAAAACTGTCCAATTTCCACAGACTAAAAGGACTTCATCTCAGTAAAAGGGGAAGGAACATTTAAGAAAATCCAAAGGGGACAGGAATCGAAAACTACCATTACTGCCACCAGTCACAGGATTCATCAGAGACCACATCTTGCAAACGCTCAGACAGCACGTTGGATCCTGCCATATTCTTACAGTACCAGTTAAAAATCTGGGCACACCTACTCATGGAAAGGATTCTCAGTGTTTCTTCCCCTTCATTTTAGTATAATTATAAAGACATCAAGACCATGAAATAACAAATGGAATTATGCACTAAGCAAAGAAAGTGTTAAATGAAGAATAAAAAAAATTACGGGGGGGGGGGGGGGGGGCAGATGTTGTGGCTCTGTGGGTCGGTAGAGTGATCATGCCATTGGGTCCTTCAACAAGGCCCTTGACCCCAATCGCCCCAGGAACTGAGAAGGGTCCAGCTGCAGACGCCTGTAGAGTGGAGCTCCAGCGGAAATACGCCACCTCCACAGGAAACACGTGGCCTCAACTCTGTGTCACAGCGAATAAACCCTAACCTTAACCTTAACCCTAACCCTAACCGGAGCTCCACTTTACGTCCTTAAAGATCACGTATTTCTGGTGGAGCTCCACTCTACAGGCATCTGCAGCTAGACCCTCTTGCAGGACCTGGCTGACCCAGCAGTCTTCTCCACGCCAGACCCCTGAGATGGCCTCCCCGGGTTCCGGTCCCAGCTGTCCACATACATGCTACTTTTCTTTCACTCTCTGGTCAAACTCCTCCCAAACCATCACTGCTGGGTCTAGGTCACCCCATCACCACACCACCATCCTTCTTAGGCGGCTTGGCGTGTCTTTTGACCGGCGATAATAAATGCTTTATTTGCCATTTGCACAAGTACAGATACATTGTGCTCTCAGTAACTCAGGGGCAGCCAGCGTGGGGCCTCCTGCACCGAGCACTTAAGTGCATAAGACGACATGCTTCAAAAAGCAAAGCTTTACTCCTGTTCTCAGTGTAAAAGGGACGGCTGTGATTTTGTTACGCCGAGTGAGAGATCCACTAGCAGCCTCGCATCTTTCGCTCTCCTCTGCAGCGGTGAGATAAAACTCAGCTCCCACAGCCAATCGAGCAAAGCAGCACCATTAGGGAAGGCAAATGTGTGAGCGAGCACGTCAACAACCAGTAAGTTAGCTGCCTTTCAGGGCCAAAGAGGGCTGAATATTCATATGGAAAGACGCAAGCAGACAAACCAGGGTTTATAGGTCATCATTTAATTATTAAAATGCTGGAGAAAACCCATTTGCTACAGAGACTAACCTCAATAAAAAGTATCACAAACTATTTTTATAAATCTAAAAAGTTAAACCACCAACATGGAAAATACAAAGCTTCAACAGAAGAGAAAAAACAGTAGAAAATGTGGGGAATTTGAAACAGGAGAGAAAGAGAAACTGAAGAAAAAGATAAAAACTGAATTTGAAAAGAAAAGCAGATAATCTCTATAAAAGATGCAAAGTACAGGGGCTGTTTATCACACATGCATAATTAGGACTACAAGTCCCTAAAGTAAGCTAGTCACACCACACCTGGCCTTAGCACAGGGATTCTGAGGACAGAAAGCAAATTCTATGGATGCAGACGACCAGATCAGCTCCAAAGCTGTGGGTATTACTATGAGGTGCCGAAATTGGCCTCTAATCCTGGTGCAACGCATCCTCGCTCTATCCAGTTTGCTTCTTAACGCTGTACTGAGTGTGAATGCAGGCCTTGTGATCAAACACACATTTGTTCCTGACAGGGTTTGTTATGAAAGCCCAAATTCAACAAAATGCACTCAAATGCTCCAAGTTAAAGGTATAAGGAAATAAAGCAGGAAGCCCATTTAGGATGAGCAATCGAAAGATGGAGGGATCTGTGAATGGATATAGAAACCTACCCATTCATCATCAACTGATCCAACATAGAGGGACAGATTGAAGAGTTCTCTGAAGGTTACTTTTCTCCAGTTAAAAAGGTAATATGAGGGCTAAAACATAGTAATTTCTGTTTTCTCCTTAAATAAATATGCGTAACTCTACTGATTAAGACTGATTACCACATATTTGATGGCTTCCGGATACAAACACACACTTGGGTTCAAGGAATGGCACAAAAAACATGACAAACATTATCAGCTGACTGAAAAGAAAACAAGCTAGTATCACAAAGAAAGGGAATAGGACACATCAAATGGGGTGGGGTGGGGGGGGGGGGGTCTTAAAGGAGACAGAGCACCAAGCAGTGGAAGGGCAGCAGGTGGAGAGGGGAAGCCTTTGGAGAGGGGGGGCAGGGACGTAGAGCAGGGGACAGAAGGCCTTTGGGGACAGTCAGGCACCTTGGTCTGCAGGGAGAGAAGCATGATGAATAAGGACGATGGCACAGGTGTGACAAGCCACTGCTCAACTGGTGGCTCTCGACCCACAAGTGGGTCCCAGGACCATTGGGGAAAACTGAACATTATTTCTAATGTTTGACTTTGCAGTGCATGAAGAATTGTGTTACTATTCCTACACTATGATCTATTAACCGTCACTGCATAATTTTTTTTTGCAAAATAAATTTGGTCCAAAATTTTTTTTAAATTTGGCCCGTGCCTTAATGACCAAGGAGACACGTGGCCCCCGAGAGACACGTGGCCCCCGAGAGACACGTGGCCCCCGAGAGACACGTGGCCCCCGAGAGACACGTGGCCCCCGAGAGACACGTGGCCCCCGAAAGACACGTGGCCCCTGAGGATGTGGCGGCCGGGAGCCAGTGCTGCAGGCAGAGCCGATTAGCCGCATGTGCTTCTCCGCGTTGAGGTCGGGGAGAGAGCCGCTTCCCGGGTTTCACACTCTGCTCATGCCGGCGGCAAACAGGTGCTACCAGTCACATAACAGGCAGCCATTTCCTGACTAGATGATGATGAGCGGGCAGAGCAGCTGTAGAAACAGGCAGCCTTTATGGGGACACGGACTGAAACCTCACGCCACACACCTGCAGTCTTCCAGGAGAATTTTTTAAATTTCGTATTAGAGCAAAGACACAGACATCATTAATGGTCTGTAGCTCTTTGTACTACAGCTTTTAGGCTGGTAGCAGAGTAGCTGAGGCAGCCTGGAAGAGGGAAAAAGAAAAAAAAAAAAAGTACTAAATCAAACCCAAACAGTGGATCACCAGGAAACCCACTTGTGTGGGAGAATTGATTTATTTTAATGAAAACAGGAAAAGCAGAAACGGACACGAAAATACGAGGGAAGAATTGCTTTCTCGGCAAAAACACTGAACACTGTTTCATAGCAACCACTAGAGGGCAAAACAAACTGTTAAACCAGCTTCCCTAAAGAACGAACAGAATGCCAGACATGGGATATCCTGGCCACATCCGCATGCTGGTTACCTAGCAACGGTGATACATGGAAGTCCATTCATTGCTCAGGGAAACCAGTTCAGGGCAGTTAAGCAATCCTTCCTACTTGGTGAAAATGACTGCCTGATGGGACTGCAGCACACAGGGACACTAACATTAGCTTAGCTTGGGGGAAGGTGAACCGCACCCTCCTGGAGCCCAGAAGCCACCAGAAGACCACCTTTGACAGGAGCCGTGGCGGAACCTCTGGCAAAGAAAGCACAATTCCTCCATGACTCAAAGACCACAGGACCCTGAATAGGAGAAGCAGTTACAGGACATGGACGATGGGCAAGACTAACTTAGAGGAATGTCAGCCTTCCTAAAATGAGCCAATCCACGTGGTATGAAAATGTATAAGGGCTCCCCCTACTGGCAGGCACTGCAACTCAGCCGGTAGGTTCATGGGGAGCCATTTGACGTGAGGCTGCCCCTTCTGGCAGAGAGAGGAGCTGCACTGCGCTCTCCAGAGTATGGAAGTGTGCTCAGGCCTCTCTGGAGCAAGCAGCAGACCATCAGTGGGGCCAGACTGGATAATTTTGCCAACCAGGAGGGAGGTTGTTCGCAACAATGAGTTTTGCCGAGTGTACCCCCCCATGATAACTTTGGACAAGCGGTAAATTTTGCTGACTGGGGGATGGGATCCCCCCCCCGGAAATGTTTGCTGGTCCAAATACACAGTCTACAGCCAGTGCAGCCCTGCTGTTTGAACTCTTCTAGACTGTACACGATAATTATGAAAGAATGACTTAAGGGGGCGCTCTTTCAGATCAGCAGACCGATGAGGCCACGACGATCCCCCCCGTCCTTCAGGCCAGGCAACAGCGGAGCAGGCGAAGCAGGACCCAGCCAGATTAAATGCACGACCCACTGGGACACTGCTCAGTTCCTGTCACACACACTCTCGCCATGGGAGAAGTCTGAGCCCCTCTCTGATCCTCTGCTCCACTGACCTCTGCTCCATCTGAGCTCCAGGACATCTGAGCACTATACGGTTAAGCCCATAACCAGAACGAAGGCCCACAGAGAGACTCTCCCCTGTGCTCACACACACGGCAAATCAGCACGAGCTTCTGAAAAACCCCGCAAGGCAAATCAGGGACAGACGCCAGACCTCTGGCCTTGGAGAATGTTCTTAAAGCGGCTCCTCCCCAGGGATCATGTGACAGCCACTGCCCAGCAGCCTAGTTACAAACTGCATTATATCACCACCGATACACCAAGAGAAATAAAGGTTCTAGAACCTATATTCAACCATTCCAGTACAGGGCAGAGTGCTATGGAAAGTTCTAAGCTAAATTAAATGGACTAGCAATTTCTTTAAAAAAAAAAATTATGCTTAACAGGCATCATATGAGAAGACGTCACCAACCACACACATGGTGTTTACGCAGAGAGAGACGACACACACCCATGCAATTTAGACAAGCCTCAACAGACCTTTAATACTCCGGTCCAGTGACGTTTCATCTACAGTGACGGCACGGGGGGGTGGGGGAGCCTTCCTCTTGGTGCTTCTCAGGGAAATCTCGGAGAGTCCCCGCATGAGTCGGCCTCTTTCCTAAACGCGAAACACAAACAATATCCCTGAGTTTAGCTTCATTACAAAAACAGTGGTTAATCACTATGCCATGGCTTCAGCAAATTGATATTTAGGTTTCACACCCAGTGAGCCACTGGGGCATCTTAGAGCTCTTATGAGTATTAATATTCAAACAATAAATACTGCTTAAACCACTTTCTCAACTGGTAGGTCGCAACCCGAAAATGGGTCTTGGGACCATTTTCATTGGGTTGCAGGGTGGGTGGGAAAATAAAATAAAAATTGGCTTTCAGTAACTGAGCATAAAAACTAATTTGGGCCGTCACTTAATGCCCAAGGAAAAATGCGGAGAAGCAGCTTAAGTGCAACCCTTTACTCAATGGACACGAGTGCTTCCCAAAAGTCACATGACCAAAGCTTGACCATCCCCGCGCTGTGATGTCATCAGAACTGAGGGAGCGACGTCCGGCAGACCTGACGGCCTTCGGGTGGGACCCCGAGTTTGGCGGGGGTCTCCTGCTGGCTGAGGTCTGACGGGGGAAGGTGGGCAGGTGTGACAGGAGGCGCTGGAGCACGCCTCTTCTTGGACACGTTGGTGCTGGAGCTGTATGAGGGGGCTATGGTCATGCTCTCCGGCCTCTTCCTGGCCAGGACGGGGGAGGTAGCGGCACTCGTGGGTACAGCCTTAAAAATGATTCAAAACAGAAACACTCTCCTAAGAAGCTTACAGAGATGCGAATGTGCCGACCGCACGCCAGAGGAAAGTCCTTACCCACCTGCTCCGTCTTTTTTTTACTTTTCCTGAACAAGCTGCCAAACAGCCCTCGGTTCTCTTTGTCCTTCAGAACCTCCCCCTTTACAGGCGGATTTCTCTCTTCTGCAGCGCAGATACAGAGATGATCAGAGCACAGCTCATCCGCACTGCACACATTGCGACGTTTGCAGGGAATGCAAAAAGCATGCAAATCACATTACAGAACCTTACCCTGATCGACAGAAGAAGCCGGGAAATACGCGTTCACCGCACCTGTTTAGAGAGGGAGCATTACTTAACACGGCACCTTAAAATATCAGCAACAATAGTTCTGTGGTACCTTTAGATTATTAGTGCAGAGTTGGAACTCCCAACTTTAGAGGTGCAAGGCAACGGTGTTCCCACCTGTGTCACCCCCAATTCATATCAGGATTAACAAATAATTAAATCGCACCATTGCAGGCAAACACTCAGCAAATACATACACAAGAGATACAGAGGGAGAATCTGGGAATAAAGAGTCAAAGTAATTTTAGGAAAAATCTTGCAACTTGGAAAGAAGTTTGTAATGGTGACGCAAAAACCATCATCCCTGCTGTTAAAAATTTCCCCCTTCCATAAAGCATATGGTTTTATTATAACTTACATGTTCAGACTTCATGCTATTCAGTTTCAGATAAATACTCTCTACTCCACATCAATAAAAAAAGGACACACATGTACACACCCCTTTCATTTTAAAATAGTGATACATTTTTTTGCTTTTGTTTAGTACCACCCAATTCGTGTGCGGTTGATCGGGTTGAATGAAATTGTTAGCGAAGACGACAACAGCGCACGCCTGGTTTCAAAACAGGGGTGTGAAAACTTTTATAATTCTTCACCATTTATTGTGGTTGCTGGGTGCGTATGCATTACATTTGTATACAGGCTTTGTAGATTATAGCCAGCTTCCGCGCACAAGACCAAAGCACATTCAGCACATTTCCTCTTACCTTTAATGTCCCTGGCATAAAGTTCCCGCAAGCCGTAGTCATTTAGAGACCTTGTCAGGTCCAGAGGCTCCTCGGAATTCACGTCTCTCAATAAAAGCGTGGTCTTCGGGTTAAATTCACATTTTTCACAAATGGCTGGTACGAGGCTCTCTAGAGGAGCTTGGGGACTGACCCTCAGAATGGTCTTCTGTGTCTTCTTGTGGTTTATTATCAGGCGGACGGTAGCCTAGTGGGACATTAAACACAAAGTCAGAAAAGCAAAGCTGAAAGGGCACTTGGGAACAGTATACGAGCTAAGCTCCAAAAAGCCAGTAAACAGTATACGAGCTAAGCTCAAACAAGACTGCACTTTAGTCTGCACATATAATTCTATCGCAAACTTTGAATGAAGGTGTGTTAAAGCCACTGGAATTTCAGAGATGTGAACAGGAACAGTAAGTCTGGGTGTTGACTTAAAAACATGTCAACAAAAAGGAAGAGGAAAAAAGAATATTAATTTTACCTCTGGCAAATGAGGGCCTGTCTTTTTGTTCCTGTCTTCCGCGCCTTTAGGTTTTATTAGGATCTTCTCCGCCTCCAAAGAGCCCATCAGAGAGTTGGGCTTGAACTTGATGTCGTTCCTGTTAGCAGAGATGAGCTCGATGGTGTGGCCGGAGGGGTTCAGGCGGTACTGTGCGCACAGTGTGACCAGCAGGTCCATCACAGGCTCGCTGGAAAACACACACAGAAGGTCACAGAGGTTCTCGATGCAAAACAAAACAAGTCAATAACCCACATCATGAAATGAAAACCACTTTTTGCCATATGTTTTTGTTTCACATCCTGTATCACCCCATTGAGACTTCATGGAGGTTTCCAAAATTAACAAGCTAAACAATTATAATGACAGAAACCAGAGATCAGTATTAAATTCAATGAAAAAAAAACATATATTCTGCAACAGTATTTGTTATTAAATCAAATTTTCAACATCAATGTTTAGTACTGGTAGCAAAATAATGACATTGTTCTCCTTGCATTTGGACCAGTGAATAAAGCACCAAGTTACTGGTTAGCTAGCTTGGTGAGTCATTTGACATATTCTGGCAGACGAAAGTCGAAAAGGCGGCTCTGAGAAATGTTGTCCGACTGGGTTGATTTCAGCGACTTTACAGAACCAAATGTACGTCCGCTGCTCAGATCTGTCTCAGGACACCAGCTTTTAAAGTAGCTGAGAAGATCACAGCTTAAGTGACACCAGAGGGCCTGACATCATGGGAAAGGATGATGGGCTAATTGAAACGTCATAACAACCAAAAATGGAAGCAACATATGCCAGATTATAGGCACTAAACTAAACATTTGCTCAGAACAGTGTTCTAGATCAATTTAAGTTGTTATCAGCACTTAGGCAATACAAAAGATCCCCATCCAGTCTACACACTATTACACAACTTAGAAACTGATTTAACAAATACTTAATTCTTGAAATACATTTATACGGATACAGAAGTAATGAATGCATTTCACCATTTCACTCTGAGGGTATGGAATATGCAGCCTGAAAGTTATAGAATTACGAGAATAGAAGATGAAGAAAAATCCACAATAAATTGCTTTGGACTCCATTATGGGATGTCAGCGCACAGGTCCCAAGGGGTACAATAAACCAGGTTTTATGCAACAGACTTTCAACATATGAAACGGTGAGTGGATTCCTGTTATTACCGTGCACTTAAGATCTGTGGTGCTCCAGCAAGAAAAATGGAGCCAAGGTAGAAAATTTCACCAAGGAGTATTTCCAATTTTAGTTTCAGGTAGGCTAGATTGGCTTTTTTCAATCCGGTCCTCGGGGACCCACAAAACAGTTCACATTTTTGCACCCTGGGAGGGAGCAAAAATGTGGACTGCCTGGCAGGAAGCTCGGAGGAAGCAAAAACAGACTGTGTGTGGGTCCCCGAGGACTGTATTGGGAAGCACTGGGCTACATTATGGGGTGTTTAAGCACCGCCATGATCCTGTGATTCACAATTTTAATGGTGCAAAAGCGGGCAAAGGGAGTTACATAGGATCACACTGCACCACTCTATTGCCAGAAAACATGAGTAAAACTTCATAGGTACCTTAAACGTAGAGAAAGACAAGGGTGTATACAACTATTTCAAGGAAACGAACTCAACCTCTCTAAACTTCAGTAAATTATTGCACACGACATCACATGCAAAAAGAACTCATTAAAAACCAGTATGAAATGAAACATATTTAAACATATACTTAAAGTCTGGGAATTACACGTGACCTAAGTCCCAGTTGGAACAAGTGTCACTGTCATTCTTTCTTAATCCAGATGCAGGTCTGGGCAACAGGAAATAATAAGGCTGCCTTAAGCACTGCAGCAATACAACAACAATGATTTGCATAGCCAATCTGCCAGTAGCAGAAAAACGTAATACACGAGACATAAATTCACAGCAGCTAAATACTGGCAGTGAATTACTGAGTCCACAAATAAAGCTCTTTGTGATGACCTCAAAGGCCCATTATGACTTTACTACTCCAACAGTTATAAATACAAAGAGCTAGGTAATTGTTATGTATTTTCCTTACGCATGTTCCCATACACTTCAGTATGCCATTTCCCTCCGACATCCAGCCCGGAACGGCACCCCCGGCACACGCATCACTTCCTGTACGCTTTAAGACACAAACGGAGGAAATGTCCCTCACCTCCCATTGATGATGGCCGTCTTCTCCACCCCTCCTGGCAGAACCACAGCCAGCTTCAGCTCCCTGTTGCCCAGGTTCTCCTTCTGATCCATGGCTGCTTGCGGAAACCCTAGCGATCCCTGTGGGGGCTGCGGACCATCCAAGCACGTGGCCGCAGGTGGCACGGGGGGGGCTCTCCTTTTGGACGATCTTAAGAAAGGGGAGAGGAAGGAGTGGGGGGGGAGGGGCAGAGGCCGTTGAAATATACGTGTAAGTCATGGAGCTGCAGGGCATTCTTCTTGAGGGTATTAATTCGGTAAGTGACTGTCTCAGCACACACGTCATTCACACACACCTCAGTGACAGAGCATTAATCTGCACTGTCAGGGATTTCTGTCACGCAACAGTGTCCCACGGGAGGTAGAGGGTGGAAGCACAACGTAGGGAAACCGTACTACAGGGGCACTGTTCCGGCCTTAAGAGCCTCACGACTGATCAGAGGCATAAGACACCGGTTATGCTAATCTACAAAAATGGAATTCACTTGACAGCTAGCCAGGGGAGTGCTGGATTTGAAAAAAAAAAAAATGTAGGTTGAATGCTCGACCTTATTCATAGTCACTGTTTACTGTGCTTGATATTTGCATTGCACTGCAAGTCGTTGTAGGGGAGACAAGCAAAAGAAGTGTCTTTGAAAACAGTCTCCCTCACAAACTACCACTAGTGTAATTTCCTCAACGCAGATGATTATTGATAAGAAAAGTCTAAACATCTCATGATTCGTTTTCTGTAAATTATGTTTTTAAAGCATGCCTTACAGCGAATACTTAAACACCTTCAGCTTGCAGTTGGAGATACCTCTGAAATCATTCTCTCAAGATTTTTAGCACCTCAGAAAACACCTTAAATAAAAGAGGAATTATATCATTCCAATTTAAGAGACTGCAGGTATTAAGCGGGAGTGCCCTGGATGACTTTATAACCTGGTCACAAGACACAGCAATGGGCACAATCGCTTGTTTATTTAGCAGGGAAGAGACTAAGCAACCCTTAAACAACGAGGAGATTAAAATCCTTCATGCCCTGGTGTAAAGAGATCAGAATGTAGTTAGAAGTATGGGTGTGCGATTTGATATTAGATCATGAATGATTAAAATGTCTCCATATTCTGCCTTTACAGAGATAATTTGTATCGCACTACAGCGCACATACTGTCTGTTGAGTTCCATGGCTCATACACGCATCTAAAGTTGTTTTGCCGGCCAAATCTGTTTCGAAACACCAATAAACTGGTAGTAGCAAACAGCAGGTAGTGCCTTGGACCTCTTCCTCTCTCCCTTTCATGCCCTCGTCCCAGTGTGCAGCACGTTCCCTGTTCTGCAAGGTAGAGCTAAGACGATATGGAGGAGTTGGTAGCTAAAAAGAATTCGATAACAGTAATATGGAACTTGTTTGGATTTTCCAAAACCGACATGCCACAAACAAATTAGTTGCACAATTTGCAAAAATAAGGTTGGCAAGTCGAATGACAGCACGAAGGACCTTATTCACCACCCCAAAACCCCAAAGGAAGACACCTGGAAGAGTGTGCAGAATGTCCTCCTTTTAGGTTTAATTACCTTATAGGGCCATATTTTTAAAAAATAGGGGAAGCAGCTTAGTTGTACTGTTCAGTAACTTGCAAATTAGTCATGAAAAAAAATCATAATATCATTGATCGTGATCCTGCTTGAAGAAAAAAAAAAATCATATGATATGATTATTCTTGCCGTATCAGCCACCCCTACTCAGAAAATAGTCCTTTTGAATGATTTCCCTATCGAGTGATATGGAAAAGCTGGGCTGGGGCATTGGGAGTGTTTATCAATGTCCATAGCATGAATAAAATAAGTAACACCCCCCCCCCCCAACACCATGTTAGGCTTAGATTATGTTTACAAGGCAAGGCTGTAAGGGGTCTAAAACAGTCACAGAATGATTGTCAGTCAGATTTAACCCATGAGTCTCCATGCAAATACAACAACGAAAAAATGCTAATATAGGCAATTCTTTATTACAAAAATGTAACCTGGCTACGTAACAAACAACATAAATGTAACGTTTTTACATCCAAGAGCTCCAGTAGTGGATTAAGCCACAATTCCAAGATGAAGAAAATAAACTACTGAAGCTACAGCCCTGAAGTGAATAAGCAAATATACAGCTGGTTAGCAGGGGGTGGGATGACATCCTTCACATGCGATACGCTACATGGCTGTGGGTAATGGATATTACTCATAATAATACTCTAACAGCATGATATGTTTACAAGATATTACGAAACACAAACGTGAAAAATACTCTGATGCCCAATGTTTAACACACCAAATAAAATACCACTTCTTGGAAAAGCTAGAGTGCTGAAATGGAAATTATGAATGTCCATCATAAATTTTTTGCTTTTAATCATTTATGAGCTTAACATTATGCCCAAAAGTTTATGGCTAGATATAATGGAACGCGTGCATTTCAGAAGGGATTCTGCTCACTAAAGGGCCTGTTTAAGTTTGACTACAAACAGCTGTTAAAATTGGTGCTGCCTGGGGGGACGAGCTCGACAATTTCTCTTTATTAACTACAGAAACTTGTTTCAAAGAAAAAAAAGCAATGGCATTTTATCTTCCCATCAAATGTTGAAAACTTAAAAAGTCAGGTTGAAGAGAAAGCTAGCCTTCGTTATAACATATGGCTAGATGACTTAAAGCTAAAGACATTTTAGTGTGTAATTTAAAATGAAATCATGAAGAAAGAACTTCAGTGGAATTTGAGAAATTCACCCACTGGATAAGCTCCTTGACACCACTCGGTTGGAAGGATTAAAACCAAATTGCTTCTGAAGCTGTGCTCCTCAAAGTTGGGACTGCCAATAAAACATACCTTTTAAGAATTTAACACAGTCATATTGCATCTTATTTTAGAAAAAAAAAATAACTTGCTGCAATGCAATAGCCAGCCAGCCCCTGCGGTCCACTGCCAGGGCCTCACAGGGGCCACATGAGCTTCTTTTTTTAGCCAATCCAAGAGAGAATTAAAAAAAAAAAATGTAACGTTAATTGTCTTGTAATCGGTGTTGGGGGATGAGGTGCCAGCGATGAAACCGTAAGAAGATTTCAGCTGCACAGTTTCTGAAATCCCAGTGAACCGTGTCTTCTCCCCTGAAGTACAGGCACTTGAGGGAGAGGAAAATGCCTCACCTGACACAAACAGTAAATTACTGCCACTCACATATGTTTTCACCCCAAAGACCGGCCCCAAGACAGAAACCAAGACAAAACACAGCCCCTTAAGCCATACTATTGAGCTTCCGTGTATTTCAGCTGTAGACATCCAGCAAACAAACATTTGCAAATATCTAAAGACAACACACTGCAGACAGCATGTTACCAGCACATGGGTGTAAAGTCCAATATTCAAGGTTGTGCAAGTTTACATAAAGTTCTCCCCTTTAAATACTGACATTACCCCTTATATCTTCTCTCTACAGCACATCAACCATACAGACCAATACAGTTAGTGAACGTTTATTTAAGAATAGTGAAAGCACGTCTATTGCCGTCTAAGCTATATGGCATATATGGCATGGGTTATACAATGAACTGGAATGTCTTCCCTCACTGGTCATAATGCAAAAACAATGCATGGTACATAATCATCACAAGCAAATACCAAAAATTAGTGAATACATAGATACTTGGATCCCTAAGCAATATAAACAGCGTCTGTGAGAACAGTGGCCTGTACTACGAAGCGGGGTTACTGGCTTATCGGGGTAACTTGTTGGATTTAAGGTAGTCTGGGCAAAATGTAAGTGAGCGAATATGAAGACCATTTAAACTGTGGTACCTTAAATCCGACAAGTTACCCCGATAAGCCAGTAACCCCGCTTCGTAGTACAGGCCACGGGAGATCAGGTCGACTGCACACATACTTGTTGTGTGTCTGTATGTAGCTATGACTGTGTTTGTGT